CTCAGCCCTGTCACGCATGTGCATTCAGGGAGCCCACAGAAAGTCTGTTCCCAAATGGCAAACGTGTGCTCCACTAAAGCAATTATGAAACATCTGGAGGTCCAAAAGGTAAGCAACAGCACAGCAATCAGAATTCATCAGAAAATGCCATGTTGTCGAGCCACAATTCATCGTGATACAAGCATAACTAGGAAGCAAAAAAGGATAAAACAAAGGAAGAACCATATAACGACGTGCGTAATCTTGCACAACTGTGATATTCCTTTACGGTGCAAATCACGTGCAAATTAAATGCATGCCACACGAGTAGACAAAGGGAGTATTTGCTAAGGATTCATGCAAGGCTACGCGAACAAACACAACTTGTGTAAGTCATCAAGCAAAACAATTGACAAATTACGACTACCAAATATGTAAGTCATCAAACACAACTCGCAGCATCGCATGATAGATCTTGACCACAGTGCAGCTTAGGGTTCCTGTGCCGGTACCAGTTTAACTAGATCGACCTCAGGAATCTCCAATTCCAGCACGGCAGGACCGTGAGATTATCGTCACAAACCCAGGGGAGAGAATTCCAAACAAAAGCCTCAGTCTGAGCTCAGCAACAGCCATGCCAGAACATAGATGGGATCTGATAAGAAGGCTGGGCTGAGTGGAAGACCCACAAGAATGCCATTCGTGCAAAGCCTCCTAGCGGCATTCGTTGACCCGTCAACCCGTTAAACTATGACCGGCGAACACTTGAAACATGTCCTCACAAAACCAAGAAACGAGCGGTTTTCAGAGTTACTTTGCAAATCCTTGCAGCTGGCTTTATGACAGCCATTCGAAGTTTGTTGGCCTTGGGAGTGAGATGTTGGCCTGGCAGGTGAGAAACCATTCTGACATGGATTGAATCAACAAATGCAACCCTTCTCCTCAGCAGGTGCAACCTGGCTACTGTGTCGAAACGATGGCTTCGCCAGTCGGAAGGGCTGTCGTCACCTTGTTCCTGAGCTGCGAAACCACGTCAAGTATGGTGAAGGAACACCATGGTCCAATAGTGAAAAGGTTCTAAAATTAAGTTCAATACCAAATATAGAAATAGTCACGGGGTGGGAGGACTTGTTTACTACTTAAGCGCGGACATTATCCCCACGTCAGGACTCTTGGTCTTCTCGGTGCTTGGCCTTGGCGATTCGGTTGGCTCAGGGGTATGAGGGAATGGCGATCGGTGGTAAATATATGCAGAAATGATTCGTAGCTCAACAGCTCCCTGAAAGCCTCGCTCTGCAAGAATGAAGCAGTACCACTGCTGGCAAACATGGCCGATGCTGTGGCCAAGCCTCCCATAGCAGCTGCCACGCGAATCACTTTCCTGCATCTGCGTCTCGGAGGGGAATTCCACATGAATGGTGTGACCCTATGGACCCCATGGTATAGAAATCCATTTGCTCTTCCAGAACAGTGTGGAATCTCGAAACACATCCCAAACAGGACAAATTGGAATGAAATGGAATGAGCATTCATCGCTTGGGTCTGAACATGTGTTTCCTCGCAATAAATCTCCGAACTCTCCATCCAATGGTGTCCAAAAAGGAACTTCCACACAGGAGTCCTTCCCAGGACGTTGGACATGTCTTCGTTTGGCCGCACCACCGCATAGATGCATAAAGCCAATGTGGCCAAAGCCCAAAGTGACCCAGGGCGAGCGGAGCAGAAGTGCTGGACCCACCACCTGCTTGCCAAATCCAACTTGAACTCCAGGTAAACCACAAAAGAACATCTGGACCAATAGGTTATTATGACTATGATTGTACACTGCAAACAGTTTAAACAAAACACTACTACAAAAAACTAATATATAAAATGACTATCAGATGTTGTATTGGAAAATCCACGGTGTCCGATTGTCTCTTGTGCATAGGCTTGTTTATCATATTCAACATTTAAGATAATGCATATCAGCAACGATGCGACGCCATGCCAGGGACAAAGAGTGGACCCTCAGCAACGATGCGACGATGTCTTAAGGACTCTTAAGGAATCGTGGGACGCCCATCCAATGACCATCCCTTGTGACCACAAACAAAAACACACACACAAATCGCCTAGGAACTCTTTTGCCGAGGAATTTGATTCCTGATCAAAATCTTCGTACCTATTGCAGCCCCTGCAATTGTTGTGAAAGCAGAACTCTTTTGGCCACAGGGTGCCAACTCCAACTGACTGAGCAAACAAAACACTCCAGATTTGAACGACTTCCCAAAAAGACCACCAATACCTGCAAAACAATTGTAGTTGTTGTCTTAGTTGAAGCCAGAAATTTGAGTAAAACAATGTTTGAAGACCTTGAGATGATCCAAATATAGGAGCTAGGATACATATGACTCACCCACACTACTCACGTCGTGAGTGGTGGTGACCAATGGATGTCTCGTCCTCATACATACTGACTCAAACAACAGCCTTTACCAATCCCACTATATGTGTGGAATATTTACTTACATTGACCCCTGAAACGACCCCAATGTAGGCAAATATGGCAGTCAGTGTCTGGGAATCTTTCTTCCCTGTTCTACCTGTTCTTGTTGAGTGGGGTGTCCCCTACTATCGCCCCCGAGAAAGAAGCTCAAAGGCTATCCAACTTTTCCTGGGTAGACGGTGTCAGTGTTGTTCCATTAGTTCCGTGTATATATATATAATATATACTATCCGCCGGCAAAATCTTTCTAAAAACCCGTCCTCCCCCCCCCGCATCCCGCGTTTCGACCCACCCACCCCAGTCCTCGTCTTCGGCCCCAAGAGTTGCTTCCTGTGCTCAGCGCTTCGTTCGAAACGGCCGTCGTTCCACGAGCTGAAACGCCTCGGTGAAAAATCCTAGGGGCTCCACTGGCCCACCCACTAGCCCACATCGGGAAGGGTGGTAGGAACATGTAGGAACCGAGCCCACCCTGTTTCACGAGCCGGCTCCATCATACCCTGAATTTTCTACGATGTTCTTGAGCCTATGATGACTTTCCGCCATAGAATGTAGGCTGTATATATAGAGCTTCTTCTCACCCGGATCCAAGAATCCCGAATCGATCTCGAATGGATTCCGGATCCATTGGGACATGTGATTCACATCCAGGATTCCGGTTCCACTGAGTCCAAAGACATCTAGTTTGCCCTGGAACATCAGCAACTGGATCCACTAGGTCTAATTCACATCCCAGATTCTCTTCCAACTCTTGCCACACACTCTCTTGGACATCCGAAGAGTCATCCGAAGCCGCTTGGGGCAGCTGATCAAAGGCGGCCATGGCGCACGTAACGAGCGGATGAACCCGGTTTCTGACTCTCTCGGGGGAGTTCGACAAGTCTTGGCTTCTGACTCTCTCGGTCGTTTATGTGACATCCTCAGAGTCTACAGGCTCAGGGAAAACGAACGTCTACAAGGCTTTGGAAGTGAATGGATGCACTTTCAATTTGGCCATTACAAGGAATAACCTGGGAATCGTCGTACGCTTCAATAGATTGGAATCGTCGAATGTTGGAGACACTTTTTCACATCCTAGTTGAAAAAATGTTGACCTCCGTTGATGTTCATCACAATCTGTAGGAAACTTTGGTGTATAACTTACTGGGTTGACCCAGTTGACGTCTGGTTGTAGGTGGATGACCAACCCCAGAAACCGTTTGAAACTCAGAACTCAGAACCCTCAAAATCACTGTGAAAATTCACGTATAGATATATAGACCCCCCCAATCGTGATTCCCGGCAAATTGTGCTAAAGATTGCTAAAGTGTAGAGACCGGAACCTCCATGTCCCTGTAGACTCTAGACTGATTTGGTGATTCACTCTTGGCCTCAAGATTGCACAGCCTCAGGCTACAACCGGCTCGGAGCAAGGCACAGCAAGCTTCCATGGGGGTTGAAGAGTTCACTGAAGAGCAGCCTAAAAGCCATCTTCAAAATCATTGCTTGGGGTGTTTCGGAAATATCATGAATGGTCTCTGTCACGGCCATATGAATTGGAACTGGGAACGGTGATGTGACTTAAGGTGCACGCGTCATATGCGTAGAGGCAGCTTTGGAAAGCTGTGCTCGTATGTGTGGGCATAGAGATATGTTTTGTAAGAAACAAACTCCACAACTAGTCTTCAGGGATTTCATGTATCCTGCCTCGACGATATCAAGAAACACATTATATGTAGGCCTCAACATGCCCAAACATCAGTGCGAGGTGGCAACCACACAAGCCAAGTGAATTTGAGAAAAACACGCCAGGCGCTTCCCTTCTCAGGGGGAAGAATCCTTCTTCACTCCAGCGTTGCTCTGAACCCCCCAACATTGCAAGACGGTTTGTACACCTTGATGGTCACTGACCCCATGGGTGGCCACCCCATAAGACCACATGCGTTTCCTCTTCTGACTCCCGAAAAAGCGGAGGGTTTCCCCTGACACATCCAGGTGAGTCGTCTAGCAGGTTGATCCATCCCTAATCTCCAAAAAAGGTTGGGCAGGTCATTCAATGGACCAACCCGCAGGTAACACAGGTCACCCTAGCAGTTTTTGTAACCTATCTACCTATCTAGCAGGTCCTCCAATGTCATACACAAAACTCGCAGGTAACGGTTGGTCTTTTGGTCTTGCGCCGCTCCCAACAATCGACATGCCTACGTCGTGTCAACCCAGTGGACCGTTAAGCAATGAGTACCATCCATCCATCAAATTGCACGTTTTTCATGAGGGGGCATGACCAGGCTGATGAGCAATTTCCTGGATCTGATCAGCATGACCAGGCTCACACAAAACTATAGACAGTCACCGAGCCCAAATTCATATCTGGTAAAGCATAGGAAACAAACACAGTACTAGTATTATAATATGGAGCCCTGTTTGACACCATCTGCTGCTATGCATCGTTAACACCCGCTCTTTTCGAGCTTGCCTTTCCAGCAGTCATCCGGGACGAAAAATAGCGGCCACTTGAAGAAGTAGTCCACCCCGCTGAAGCCCAGTGGCTCAAAGGCTATTGAAGGTGAATCATCTTGGAGAAGTAGCGGCCTGTCTCATCCAAGTGTGCCACCAAATCCTCCAAGGCCACCGGGGACTTAGTGTTCCCCGGAAAAACATATGTGTTTAAGCTTGATATGAGATGTATGTGCTTGAGTCAAGTGCCTGGCAGTCTCTGTTTTAAGAACCCTTTGGTTTCGGGCGGCATGCCCCTTTAGATCCGAATCACTTGAGGATGCTTGCGGCGAGTGACCTCTGCCAACCCGAGGCGTTGTTGCAGTGTTCCAGGAGTTGGTAGGAGTTTTGAAGCAAAAAGAATCCCAAAGCCAGGCTTGGACCAAAACCAGGAAGCCAAACATGAAAGAAACAAGCCTAGACAAGGGATTTCCCTCACTCACGGAAGGGCCCTTAACACTCTTTTGGACATGACCAGCTGGCACGAAACGAGGGTTGGAACAAGAAGAACATACATTTTGTTTCCAAAATCACAGCCCAATCACATCACCACGTTGCACTTCACGTTCGCTTCTTGTTACTAGGCCAACTAGGGCCTCCACCCTAGTAGCGCGCTGGCTTCTTGCTACTAGTAGTACAACAAAAAACTCTATCCTTTGTCCATCAGACCATCATTTCCAAATCCCACATGCAGAGCTCCTCCTTGCGAATATCCAGGTTGGCCAGCATGTACGACAAGAGTGCTACAAAGCCGGTCGTGGCCTGTGCCAAAAAGCGGGTGATCAACTGCGAGTCGATGAGCACCCCAAACATCTCCACGCCTGCGTTGCAGTGATGCAGTGGCGGGGGCGTATTCAATGGACTTTGAAGTCCACTATATATAATGTCAGATGATCATGGAGATAAGTTAATATATATATGTGGAGATTTAAGATGATTTAATTATACAATATGTATATATATATAAGCAGCAAACAATATTATATACTTGTGTAGGCAATACCATTTGACATTATTATCGTTTTTGGTGGGGTCCATATCGTTCTCCAATGTTTCTCCAAACCGTAGTTAGCATAGCATACCAGCACATAGGCTAAAACAAAAGATATAACTCATAACCTCAGATTAGAGGCTTACAGTGCTTTCTGCACAGGAATGGCACAGCACTTGATTTAAGCACTTGGGTTCTTGTGGCACCGGGCTGCGCAAGGATCACAACAAATAAGCGGGGACCTAGTAGCTCGGACCAACACTAGTAATGTGGAGAAGTAGGTCTACGTTACGGAGTGCCTGGCGTGACATTTAGGTTATCGTTCGCTTATCGTTTGGGTTATCGTTTGGAAAGTTGTCTGGGATTATCATTGATGAAAAGTTGTGCCCATCGGTTTAGCTCAAATATGCTCAAATAAACATGCGAATGCATTAACATCTGGTACAAACATCTTTGTACCCACTACATCTTAACAATATTATCGTTTTTGGTGGGGACCATATCGTTTTCCACAGAAACAAAGCCCTCAACATAGGTTTAGGGTCATGCCGTGACTAAATAAGTCAACCAATAATTTTGTCCGTCGCTAATATATTGTCAGAACCCTTAGTTTGAATCCAAAATATGTGTTTTGGTCCAAAAAACAACCACTCACTCCCAGAGTGTGTTCAAAAGAAGAAACACAAAGAAACATCCAAAGCTCTGTGGTCCAAAAGCCCTGAATGTTTTCTCTCCATGGGTGTGGATCAGAATATGGAGACCTATCAACTACTGAGTTTGGTTTCTCTTCCTCCTCTTCCCAGGATTCTTTCAGAGGTCTTCTGATTTCAATACACCCATATGGACACCTGTCATGTTTCACGCTCTGTCACATCCTCTTCGAACATGAAATTTGTCTATAGACCCGAAACTCCTGGGCCTTATCTGCAACCAAACCCAATTGGAAATGTGCGTTTTGTATCAATTGCCTGTTCGATTCACCATCAAATAGGTCAGAAAGCGCGAATGGTCTGCACGCTCTTCTGCAAAGCTTGAGTAACCCGCTGTCTTCAGACTGGTTTGGCTGCAAGGACTTGTGCCAGACTTGGCAATTGCATGCGACAAAATGCTGGAAGTCTCTGTGGTGGTGGACATACACATCCTGAGTTTGGATGCACGTAGGGCACATCCTTTCTGGTCACTCCCTAGGGTAAGTTCGCGTCACTCGTTTCCCACCAGTCACACATCATACACATCCTCCAATAGCTGCAAGAGTGGTATGAATGAGTCCCTTGGCATTTGAGCTACATCTATTACTACCATGTATGTGCATTTACGTTTGTGTCTGGTCCAAATGACACATCCTTTTAGCCGTGCTCAAGAGAGACTCCCCAAGTTGTATTCAATATTTTACTATTTTTGAACTGTATACTGTATACCACCTTTTAGGTGAGTGTGTCCCAAACAAAAGGAGGCCAAACGCCAAGAGGAATATGTGTCTAAACACATGCAACATATTCCCCTTCTTGGACTCGAGGACAAATCCAATTTTGCACATCCTGGCAACTGGGTGATGCTAGCCAGCTCCCACAATCGGCTGGACATCAAAACCACCATGAGGCATATACTGCACAAGCCGCAACACGCGGTGAGGCCATTCTGACTGGTGACCACAGCAGACAAGCAGGCCACCAAGCCAATGATCGCAATCATCAGCATGGCGATCATATGTGGTACAATCATCCACTTTGCGAGTGCCCAGGTCTGTTCAAGCATTCCTAGGCTTGGAATGGCTCTGAAACCTGGGGAAAATGAAACACACATTGAACAATCCAAGTGGTTTCAAACGGGATGTTCTATCAAAACGGATTCCATATATATATATACATACAGTGTATATATACATATATGTGGAATTTATACCTCAAAAGTGATGTTCAATAGTTAGATAAAAATGATAGCAGCTATATAAAATATAAACGGTTCCAATATTCAATTTGAGGGTGCCACCAGCAGCTGCAAGTTGTCCATTTCCGATATATATATATATATAATGCAGCCAAAGTGCGGTCCATCTGTTTGTGTTTCTCCGTCATCGCTTGCCAGAACTGTCCGCTGCCCTTGTAGACCTCTATGCCATCTCTAATGTCTTTCATCAGGTCTTCGACCAAAGAGCGGCTCCTCACATGTCTCAGCCGCTTTTTCTAGACTCCAAAAGGATTTTGCGGCTGCCACTGACATCATGTTTCATTGACAGCAATCGGTCTGATACATTAGAGATCCTTTTCGGATAGCCAAGGCTCAAATCTCCCACAACACGCCGGATGATGATGGCACCAGGATAATAGAACATCATCAAACCAATCAATAGCCTGTGCTGCTCTGTTCTGTGGGTTCTCAGGGCACATTTCATGTGGTTCTCGAATCCGGATATCGAGCTCATATGAGAAACACCAGGCGCGACAAAAACTGAAGTACACAGCAGTTGCGCATTGAACTGGGTGTCCCAAACATGTGAAAAATAAACAAAGCTGGACGAACCTTGTTAATGTCACATCTAGGCAGCAGCCATGCAAGAAAGTACAGGGCATCGGAAAAGGCACGGCTGAGCGGAATACCCATCAAAAGTGCAAATACAAGCAGCTTTCTTGCCAAATAAAGCATGGGCACCAACTCACACTCGAATTGATCATTCTTTTGAAACGCAAAGGCAGCTTGTTTGTGTCCTTACGTGGCAAATGACCTTCCTCAAACACATGTCAATATCATGATAATCTCTGAAAGCCCTGAGGTGGGAGTTCTGGAAATGAAAGATTTACCCAAACTTGTTAGCAACCTGATGATCTGTTGTAGGGTGAAGTCGCGCCGAGATGTCTGGCGCGAAAGGGAACCTGTGACGATGTGGTGAGTGCGGTGTCTGCAGTGTAGTAAAGTGTAAGGTGGTGCTTTGGATGTTGTGTGGCAATACTTCAGGAGCATCTCAAATGTTAGGCAACAGTTTCCCTCCAAATCTGAGCAGTCAACCTGACTCTTTCCCACAAGAATTCAAGCGGATGCTCAAACTACCTATATACACATAATTTATATGGTTTAAAGTAATTTACTTTGGTGGGAACTCCTCCCCGGGAGTTCCACTGTAATCCTCTGATTCGATTATAAAGGGAACCTTCGAATGTTTCCGAACTCACCTTACTGTGACAAAAACACACATGTTGCCCCTTGTAGGAGTCATAAAGTGCCCAATGGCCAAGCAAGGATCTGTTCAACAGTTTTCTGAAGACCTCACTCGTCAGCAGTGAAAGAGCACCAGATGTGGAGATCATAGTACACATGGTGGCGATTCCAGACATAGCCGCTGCTAGGCAAGTCGCTTTCCTGTAGGGATTTTGTTTGGGCGAAACCGCATCCCCATGATCCACTTTAGGCAGGGATTCTCCATCAACCAGCTGTTCAAGAAACACATTAAAAGTTTGAAAGAAAAACCAGGTCTATTGCAACATTTACCAGACAGTTCCTCCGTTGTCATTCCGCTTGGAGGCTCACAGGTAATACCAGAATTTGGGGAACACATGGGAACACACACTCAGTCTGGGAAATAGGACAAGCTCCTCCCAAAAAGGTTTTGCATGCTATCGACTTTTCCTGGGTAGGCCACCATAGTAGTTGCAAAAAGAAAAAGTGATTCCAGTGCTTGAATAAAGCGTCTGTCCCATGAGGGCAGCAAGACCCTCATTGGGGCGCAACATGCTGTAGCCACAAACGGCCAGAGTGCAAACCGCCCAAAGCCATCCCCAGCAAGAAAAGCAAAAGTGCTGGAGCCACCTCCTGGAAACCCGATGGGAATGAGCTTATATGGGCAAATAGCGTCCCATAGTGCGAATCATCGCTGTTGGGAGCTCGCCTACTTGATCCTAGAAAAAAGAAACACCTGCTGCGGCAGCATGGAGGGGTTTGGTGATTACCATGGGTCATGAGTATATACCCTTTTGCTTAGTTTCTCCTTTTGCCTTGCTATGTATGTCTGTTCCAGTTTGAGAAGGAGCACCGCCTTGATCCCGCCTATGTTGGACTGCGGTCCGAGCCATGCGGCAGGACCCCTACGGCCCATGTAGGACCGCGACGCGAGACGGCCCATGGGGGGGTTGGCACACTGGCCAGCCATGAAGGTCATTAGAACTTCTTACCCCCCAAACTCCATCTCATCGATATGATTCCAAAAACTGCAGCCCATCTGGTGAGTCAAACCATGTCAAACAGCTGAACCCTGCTGACTCTTGTTTCCATCTTCATGGAGCCTTCTCCCTACTGCGCAGCGGCCTGCGCCCGATCCGCACGATCCACCAGTGTCTCGGCAGGTCCTGGTGCTTGGACCCAAAAGCTCCTTCCTGGGCGAAATGCTCCGTGGCCAGGTGAACAAAAACGCGTGTCTTCTGTCTTCGGGGGATATATATATATATATAGGTATTGGGATTTTCTGGATGTTCATCCCCATCTGGACAACTCCCAGGTACCTGGCTCAAGCGTCATTGATTTCTGACACATTTAGTACATGCTTTATCATGCTTTAATTAATATGTTTTACATGCTTTCCAGTCACCTCGAAATTCATCTTGAAACTCTGAAATCTTCCTCCATGGATTCTCCAAATCAGCCAGTTCTTGCGCCCTTCCTGCCGGCTCCTGCCAGCTGCACCCCCCAAAAATCACTCCAAAAACTGGGACGACGAATCCAGGGACTGGATCACCCTGGAACGTTCCACGGGTACATGGCATGGTTCCGATGACCATCATCCGGATTTCCCTAAGCTTCCAGGGTTGAACTTCACTCCACGAAACCCGAGTTCCAGGGCCTCCAGGGAGGGAAGATCATGGGGTGGGCAATCAGGAAAGTCCATGATTGGCGCCAGGATTCTCTTCCAGCTCTTGCCACACGCTGAGCTCATCCAACACTCCACTCTCTGCTTGTGGCAGTGGATCATAGGCCATGGCGCAATAAGATTAAGGAAATTCGGCAAAGGAGAGAACCTTCGGGCTCCCAGCTGCGAATTGCTCTGTGGCTGGAGACGCATGCTGCTCTTTTTTGAATGCAGTGCTGCATGGGTATGACATGTTGACTCATGCTAACGGTTGAAGAATTCAATTGACTGTAGATTGCGTAGGCGTAGGCTTTGGGATGCCAAATCCCATTCAACAAAAACCACATGTAGTCATCGTAGTCGTTTCAGCGTGTTTTCCCAACTCATTGATATCATGTCCGGGACTTACCCCGGGACTCCTCACCAGGAAGCAAAACAAATGGTTTCCAGCTTGAGGGTCTCTGGCCGGACCCTTGTTCAACCCAGGTTGCCTTGATTGCTGGTTTCCTGTGAGATTGCTGGGTATTTTGATGTATTTTGTTTCTACAAGTTTCACATGGGTACATCCACGAGGTGGTGGACTTCTCAGCTCACAAGCTTTGCGACTGGCTTGTCATCTGAAAACCAAGAGTAGGGCCCTTTTCTCCTCTACTCTTGGGCTGAACCCTGGCGGCGAGTGCTTTTTAATTGGGCGCTGTTTTCAAGGTGCCCAAGCACAAAAACGCGAAAATCCTTCACAGAAAAACGACATCCAAGAGTTGTGTTGTTGCCCCTCAAGCTGTATGATTTCCAAAGCTGTGTGGATCTCAACTTTGGGTGGGTCACTACGTACAGCCGGCTTTGCCAGATATTTATTTATCAAAGAGAACTGTTCTCCTCCAAAAGCATTGGAAACAAAATGTCTAGAATTTTAGAGACTACAGTACCCTATCCTCCTGTAAACACAAGCAGACACCATCAGCCGTCCCGGGTAGGAAAAGTCCTCTTTGTTAGGAAAATGTGTTGCCCTGCCGGGGCGGAGGGCTTTGTCAATGTGAATATCACTTGTTGGGAGGGCGTAACACTTGTGGAATGAGTAAAGAACATAATGAGACAATCTCGTACTGGATTGGTTCAATCTGAGCTCAATTGGAGAGTTGGGGATTGGAGACATCATCAGGTCGAGGCTCTGTTGGGCCTCCAGTTGTTCAACTTTGGACATCACCACAAGGTATCTTGTCTTGTAGTGCAATATAGTTTTGACTTACCCCTCTTTTTATACGTCTATTATTTATAATATCTATATCCTTCTATCTGAATCTATTTCGCCCCTCGGACCATTCGTGGGTCCTTTCCGTGTTCGTTTTCCACACGAAAAGCGTGGTGGAGTTCGTCTGGCGACCGTGTTCGGAAGCGCGTCACCGGCGGACCCTTCGGGTTTGGTTGAGGTAAAAGACCTCAAGGCTCAGCCTCCAAGTTGGTACATACCAACGGGCACTGCAGTCATTTCGTTTCATTGAAGCAAGGTATGAGCCCTCACCAATAAATGAGCAAGAACGAAAACCCCAGGTTGATTTGGTCTACCCTGTCTCGAATCTACGCTATTCCATGCTGGCCGCCTCTTGTGGCTCCCACTTGCGATTCCAACTCCCAATCCCAAAGCCCAGAACCAAGCCACCCTTCTCAAGAAGTAGGCCCAGAGCTAGTGCGGCACCCTGCAGCAGCACCAGCACGCAGGCTCCAAAGCGCACACGGCCATACATATCTGGCACAAGCACCCTGCAGCGCAGGCTCGAAAGTGCACACGACCATACACATCTAGCAGCGGCACCCTGCAGCAGCACCAGCACCCAGGCTCCAAAGCGCAGACAGGACCTCTTCCTACACTTGAAGCAAGAGCCCCAACTGCTTTTGCTATCTGGGAAAAGAGAGAGTGGGAAGCAATGTTCTGGGGTACTGTGGGAGTCGTGTAGGTAAGTGTTGGGAAATGGACGTGTGAGGTATTGTTCCGGGTATCGTTTCCGTATCGTTCCAGACGCGGGTTTAAGAATATGAAAATGACACCACCAGCAAGTATAAACATGATATGGAAACGCCACCTAGGGCACAAAAGGATTGAGCGACATCTTTTTGCCCCGACATTGGCTGTGTCTCTCTGTAAGCTACAGTTTGGGAACCCTGAACGTGCCATCTTATACATTGTTGAAGGGAGTGGTATCGTTCCAGGGTATCGTTCCTCGCAAGATTGATGCACATGTATACCTAATAACTAACTCCGACAAGATCGTAAATTGTAAAAACTGCTTCAGCAAAACGTTAGGGTAAGTCACAGACTAAACATAATTGCGCGTTTATATCATTGCTCAAAATGCCTTTGTCACCTTTTTCCATCAGAAAGAGATGAACCAGTGATGCATTGCCGGCAATTCTCTCCAATGTCATGACACGAAAAGCACCTCTGTTCTTGCAGCGAGCTCAGCGGCACCCTTTTTGGCAGTCTCATGCAGCTGTTGCGATGCAGAACTCTCACCCTTAGCAGTTCTCACCCTTGAAGTGAAACATCTGTGAGAAGTAGCAACCAGTCTTGTAAACGTGGCCCATCAAGTCTTCCTGCTTAATATCCAGGTTGGCCAGCATGTAGGAGAAGAGTGCCAAAAACATGGTGGTTGCTTGGAAGAGGTATCGGGCGATGAGCTGTGCATCAATGAGCACGCCAAACATTTCTACACCTGTCAGGGTCGATTTCAGGTGTGATTGTCTGTTGAAAGCAAAACATGCACATAAAACACTTGAAATCCTATGTCAAGATGCAAGCAACTAAGAATGCCTTCCTTCCGTTTCTCTGCCATCGTGCAGTTGCTGTTGTTTGAGGGTAGTTACTAACGGAGTCCTGTTTTAGACTGACTTCAGTAGTTTTGTGGTTCACGACTCACAACAATAAGTTGTTCTGTTTGGTCGGGTTACGTTTGTCTTTCAAAACTGTTTGTACGTAGAGATGATACGCTATACACCTATCACAAAAGTCCATTAACAAGAGTGTAAAATAGTTGTTGCAGACTTGACTAACTAATCTTGGAGTCCCGGCAAGAAAGCAAGACTCAAAAGAGACACCGAAGCAACATCTAATGCCGCATGTTAAGTTAATCGAGATAGCACAACATATTGGACACTGTTCACCTGTCCGGTTGATGGTGAGATAGGTGAGAAACCGGGCATGATCTGCGCGCTCCTCTCCTTACTTGATGCGCAGCCCTGCCTCAAGGCTGGGGTTGCCACTAGTTCCGAGAAGTCTTAAGTGATCTCTACCACCAACTATTCAAAAAACACAAGGCGGGCTCCTCATGCAACTGATACAGTAACATCAGTAACCAGTTGTCCAAAAGTTTGGACACAAAACTTCATCCTATGGCGATGAAATACCCAACAGATCCAAACAGTTTCTCCAGTTTCATCAGCCAAGTGAGTCTCCAAAGTTGGAATAGCCAGCATTCTTCAGGCCAGACTCACTGCATGGGCTAGGTCCGGACTTCGCAATGGCATAGGACCGGATTCCAGGAGTCTTGGACTTCGGAGTCATGCACATCCTAAGATGGAAAGCATTTTGTATATGAACCAATAGGTAGTGATACCTTCTAGCCAATGTACATCTGACCTTGCAACCACTGTGGTGTTAGCCAATTTTGCAACGTGTTGGGTCAACGGGAAGGATTGCCCAACTTCACGACATCATCATACCCTTAGCATCTTTTTCACGTCTTTCATATGTCACTGTCAAGTTCTTCTTTTGGTGAAAAAACACGTTTTTGCCCATGTCGTGTGGCGGGGATCAGGAGGTTCGTCAGGGTTTAGGTGAAACTTTGTTCGATATGCAAAGCACCAAACAAGAATGAAGACACTTCTAGCAGTCGTTCCGACATGGACAAACTTCTTGCTGCTCCACCAAAGTGTTTTCACGAAGTCGCGCGGTCCGGATAAATGTCACCATTCCATTGTCTGTTCTTTCTCAATTTGTCCAGCATCAATGTAGTGGCGCCATGAATGTGGGTTGCCGGGCAATCCCCCCCCTTCGCCCAACATGTTGTAACCACCTCTTGGACCTCTCAGAAGACTTTGTCGGAGCCAGGTGAGGTGATGAGGAGTCCTTCTGGGGATGACCATCTCTTATTTTTGCTGTTGCCCCGAGAAGACGGAAGGTTGGAATTGCACACACGCACACCGGAGATTATGGAGAACATAGCAGAACTGTCCTTATTCACCCTATCTTTTGGAGCTACTCCGGCGAGTGTCCCCACAAACCAAAGGAAATCACACGATGTGAAACATGCGCAAACAATTGTTGGGGGAGGACTGGAACAATTGATACAGAGTTCAAGTTTTGAAGATTGGAACTCAATCCTACTATTCCTAGAATAATGATTTCCCGATTCCTAACTTGGGGATCAGTGACACCCTCCACTCTTAGATTGATTCTATCAAACCAAGAGAGTCTTCTATTGCGTGAGGGAGTTCAGGTGGAAAATGCCCAAAGTTGTTGTTCAGCATAGCCTGGCAACTGTGTAATGGAGGCCATCTCCATCAAGCGTTCAGCAATACTTAGCACGATGACACAAATCAGGAGTAGGCCTGCAAACGCGATCAGTCCGTTCTGGCTGGTCACCACTGCAGACAAGCAAGCCACCAAACCCGTTAGACCAAAAATAAGCAAGGCCGCCAAACGAGGTAGCACAACCCACGCTGCAAGCGCCCAAGTATCCTCAAGTATACCTCAGTTGGATGAACTCCGGAAAGCAACATCTTGAAGGAAGTAGAACTGAAACTCGTAGACATCCGTCCTGTCCAATCCTGATATATGATATAGTATTCTAAAGAGAGTCCACCCTCCCTCTTGTTTGGGGCCGACTACAAGATCGTCAAGCCCCACCGGCTACTACTAAGTCCTTTGTGGGAAGAAGCAATGTTCTCTCAATCCCCAGGGCTCCAACCACATCCTGAGAAGTATACATAGAACACCGAAGTGGGATGAATGAATGACTGGGGTATGAATACATGCCTTGCCTTTATTGCACTATTGAACAGGTGAATATATATAGAGAGAGAGAGAGAGCGGCATATGTAGAGAGAGAGAGAGAGTTCCTGACCGCTCCCCACAAC